CATGATGAGGATATTTACGATATAATCTCTTAGCAAATTTCATGTATATAAACATTATTATAGTTGCCATGTTGCACATTAGGTCTCCAGAACTTATTTATCTTATGTCTGGAAGTTTATGCCCTTTGACATCTCCCTGTGGCCCCCCTTCCCCAGCCCCTGCCTTCTACTGTCTGCTTCTGTAAATTTGATTTTTAAAAATTCCACATATAAAGGAGATCATGCAAGATTTGTCTTTCTGTGTCTGGCTTATTTCACTTACTGTAACATCTTCAAGGTTCATTCTTGTTGTCTCAAAGACAGGATTTCCTTCTTTTTTTCAAGCTGGATAATGTCCCATTATGTGTCTGTCTGTCTATCTGTCTATCTATCTATCTCACATTTTATGTATCCATTTATTTATAAATAGACACAGGTTGTTTTCATATCTTAGCTATTGTGCATTTTAATGCTGCAGTGAACACGGGAGAACAGATAGCTCTTCAAGATAGTAATTAAAAAAAAAATCTCTACCCAGAAGTGAGATTATTAGAGCATACAGTAGGTCTATTTTTAATTTTTTGAGGACCTTCCAAACTGTTTTCAATAATGACTGTACCAATTTGCAATTCTACCAGCAGTGTATAAGAGGTGATGGATATGCTAATTGCCTTGATTGTAGTAATCATTTCATAATGTAAACATATACCAAAGCATCACATTGTACACCTTAAATATATACAATTTTTATTTGTCAATCATACCTCAATAAAACTGGAACAAAAACAAAACAAGTGCCATGATAATTTTTTTAAAAGGGAAATTTAATTTGTCATCAAACAGACTTGAGCTAGGAGTATGGTGTCAGTGGGGTTTGAATGAAGAATTGTAAGGAAATGGTGAAACGTGCCTGGAGTTATGGAGCTTAGGAAAATGATAGCAATCCAGTTTTCAAATGACAAAAGTGGAAGAATAGGATGGTATAAGAAATATACTTGACCTTTTTTTTTTTTTTTTGAGTCGGGTCCGACTCTGTTGCCCAGGCTAGCATACAGTGGCACAGTCATGGCGTCATGGCTCACTGCAGCCTTAACCTCCTGGGCTTAAGCAGTTATCCTTCCTCAACCTCCCAAGTAGCTGGGATGACAGGTGCATGCCACTATGCCTGGCTAATTTTTTGATTTTTTAAAAATAGAATCAATGTTTTGCTATGTTGTCCAGGCTGATCTTGAACTCCTGGGCTCAAGCAATCCTCCTGCCTCGGTCTCCAAAAGTGCTGAGATTATAGGCATGAGCCACCACAGCTGGCCTTAGACTTGATTTTAAAGGGCCTCTGGTTCTAGGTAAAAAAAAAAAAAATATATATATATATGTTTTACATTTTTCTTTCTGTTCTTTCTAGAAGTTCTCTAGGACTTCTGGGTGGTAGCATTATGAACTTAGGGAGAAGACAATCTGAGAGGTAATGCAAGTTTGGGCTGTCTACAGCCTGGCACTATGGCGATGGGGGTGAGATATAAGAGACAGAACATGGTGGCTTCTTGGATGTGTTCGGTGGAGAAGGGCAGAGGGATGGGAGGATGATGGGGACATTAACAGTAGTGGGAAAGCTGAAGGAGGAGGACATCTATAGCCAATGATGGACTTTATTTGGGGTTTCACACCTCTTCAGGTTGTGTGCGGAGATGTGTAGGATAAATCTGTGGCACTCAAGGGAAGCTTGAGAAGACCCAAGGAGATTGGGAGGATGTAGGGAGAACAGAGCCCAGAGAGAGACTTCTGGTCATGCTTACATTCCTGCTATGTGCAGAGAAGCATCCAACTATGTAGGGTGTTTCATATCACCCTCAACTGGTATGCTGCAGTTCAACTCTGGCGCTAACCATCTGGAGGTAGCGTAGACCCCACAAGTCAAAGGGCACTGTCCCCAACAAGACTGCTCTTACTTTAGATGCCAGCCACACGTCCAGGGTCCTAAGGCCACCTGCACTTCTGACTGATTGGCTATAAATTTTGGAGTTCCCATGACCCTATTAGATTTGATAATTTGCTAGAACCACCCACAGACCTCAGGAAAGCACTATACTTACAATTAAAGTTTTACTATTAATATAAAGGTTGAAAATCAAAGGACTAATGAAGAGGCCCATAAGATGGCCTGGGAAGGATGCAGAGCCACCATGGCCTCTCCTCATGGAATCTGGGCACATCACCCTCCTGGCACATCCTTGTGTTCACCTCCTGGACACTCCACTGAGCCTCAGTTTTGAGTTTTGCTGGGCTTTTTTGAATAGGCATTACTGTGTAAACTGTTGTCCGTGTAAGTGAACTTAGTCTCCTCCCCAGATGTTGGGTTGTCTCAGAGTTCCAACCTTCCACTTATGTGCTTTATGTTATTTTTTGAAACTGCCTCCTTGGACCGACTTTTCCCTCTAGTACATTGTAGACCGAGTCTATGTTTTTCTTGATACGTGGCAATTCTCTAGCTATTGAAGACATTTTTATACTCCTTTTTGTCCAGGTGTATGTGTGTATGTGTATTTTCAGTCTAAATAATTCTAATATTCTACTGTGTTCCTCTAATAATATAATTTCGAGACCTTCAGTCAGCTAACCACATTTCTTGTCTCTAATCTAGCATGTTCTCATTCATATATTCATATATAGAGTCTGGAATAGCATACAACATTGCAAATACATTATCACTATCTGTACACCAGTGGGGCACTTGCCACTGACAGGATCTGATACTTGATAAATCCTGTCTAATGTCAGTTATCTTTTGTAAAACTGTCTGGTAGGGGTGGTTGACAATAGGATTGCTTATTAAGAGAAATGCTGCCTGTGAGTCCACACTTTAACTAGGAAGGAAGGGACTGGAGACACTATGAAGAGCGTGGCTGGAGTCAAGCTCAGTGAGAAAAAGACAGATAGGAGGAAGACTGGTGGGTGTTATTGGCCCAGACAGGAGAGGGGCCAAAACCACACAAATCAGTTCATGATGAATGTGTAAGTCCAGGGTTAGGAAATGGCACAGCAGGGGTCTGGGCCAGAATATCTGGACAAGCTTAATTTATAATCAGATAAATTGTTCTGGAAAACTGTACAAAAGACTTACTGAGCAGATGTCCTCCACTCTTCTTTCTGCTATAAGTCAAAACTTGCCACAGTGCATGACAGTGTCCATAATGGAAAAAAATAAAAGGCTGGCATAGCTGGAGAGCAGAGAAGAGAGCAGGTGACAGAAGAAGAGAGCTAGGGACAGAAGTTGAGACATCTGGTGGTAAAACTGCTGGGATTTTGGAGTACTAATGTCTGTTCCAGCTCTGTACCTTTTAATTTACTGATGCTTACTTATATTTCATGGTATTTAATAAAGGAATGCTAAAGATAAATAAGAGAATACATTCAAATACAGTACACACACACACACACACACACACACACACACACACACACACACACACACACCTGGACAAAATGGAGTATAAAAATGTCTTTGGACCAGTTTCGGTGGCTCATCTTGTTATCCCAGCACTTTGGGAGGCCAAGGCGAATGAATTGCCTGAGCCTGTGGGTTTGAGACCAGTCTGGGCAACTTGGTGAGACCTTCTCTCTTAAATAAATAAATAAATAAATAGCCAGGTGTGGTAGCGCGCGCCTGTAGTTCTGGCTACTTGGAAGGCTGAAGCAGAAGGATCGCAGAGCCCAGCAGGTTGACACTGGGGGTGGCCATGAGTGTGCCATGGCTCTCCAGCCTGGGTGATGAAGTGAGACTCCAACTTAAAAAAAAAAGTCTCCAATAGGTAGAGAATTGCCATGTATCAAAGGAAGAAGAAGAAAAAGCCAGGAGTGTAACATGAAATAGAGTAAGGATTTGTACCTTCTGTGATGCCCTTCACATACAGGACACATGTTTGGCTCCAAATATTTGAAACAGATAATTAGAATAGGGAAAATTGATTATTCTTACAGTCCATAATTTCTTTAAGATTAAACACAAATCTGTTTTATTTATGGACTTCTTGATGCAGTATTTACTAGAATTTATTGGGGGCAAAGAATATCACACTGTGTGATATTCTAAATGTCCTTTATAGTAAAATACTTTTAATTGATAAGTTGGTGACAATTTCTTCATGTTGGCTGCTGACATTACACTAAGGCACAAGCCCAGTAAAGCAAGCAAAGGAAAGCAAAAAAAAAAAAAAAAATTTTTTTAAAAAACTTTCAAAAACAAAAGTTGTTTGATAAAATTGTCCTGTATTCTGTCTAGACCCCATGTCACCTAGAAGTTAATTTTTGACTATTGTCCAAGTTTCTATCAAATAATCTCTTTGTATATTGTTACTTCACCTGATCTGTTTCCTCACTGCAAATATATGAATAGTATATTACTTCAGCCACTGGGAAACTTACAAGGACTAGACAAGAAAATGTGAATACCTGTAAACACAGTGCCTGTCATATAATGCATGAACAATTCATGCTGGTTATGTTTAACAATAGCAGCAGTGACAAAAATCCCAGCACACATTGCTGAGCTGCAAGATGGAATTTGCCATTCTTTATTTTTTTTTGAGTTGGAGTCTCACTCTGTTGCCCAGACTGGAGTATAGTGGCTGCTCTCGGTCACCGCAGCCTTGACCTGCTGGGCTCTGGCGATCCTTCCGCCTCAGCCTTCCAAGTAGCTGGAACTACAGGCACGCGCTACCACACCTGGCTAATTTTTTGATTTATTGTAGAGATGAGGTCTCACTAAGTTGTCCAGGTGGGTCTCGAACCCGCAGGCTTATGCAATCCATTCACCTCAGCCTCCCAAGGTGTGGGATTACAGGCTGAGCCATCAAGCCCGACTGGAATTTGCCATTCTTTGCTGCAGGGAGCAGGACCTTCACAAAGCAAACAGGAAGCATCGTACAGGCACAGAGAGTCAGCGTGGCATGGAGATGGACTGTGATTTATCATGTAGGAGTGGGTTTGAGACTCACTTCTTAACTTTTCTATTTTTCCCCCCACAGGAATAACACTCTACAGCCAACCGTATGGAGGGGCCTTGCTGAATGAGGACAAGATGTGAGTTGACAGGATACTAAGGGATGTGTGACCTTGACCATGGAAGAAAAACTCTGGGTTACTTAGGGATGATTTTGATCTCTCTTCCACATTTGCCTCGAGAGATATTGGCATATACAGCAGTGGCCCAGGGCTTGGATATTTCTTTGCAAAGTGTGAGAAAAATGATTATTAAAAGAGGAAATACACTGAGCTTTAAAGAGATGAGCATATCATGCACTGTCCTTCTAAGCAGAAATTTGTTCTAAGGGAATGATATCCTGTAAGTTTATGGTATTGCACATCTTCCAGAACACTTTTTCAGATTAAAAGCATAAACATGGCATTCATATAGATGAACATAGTAACACCTCCTTGAACATTTTTCATACAAGGTTTTCCTTATGGTCCAGATGGAGTCCTGGTCCAGGTATAGTCAAGATCACAGTGCTCCTTGGGTACAGAATTAGGTGTCATTTCTCACTCTCTTGATGAGAGGTACAATGCTTCTGCCTGTCTTCTCTTTTTTCCCCACCTGCCGTCTCTATTATGCGATTGATAAACTTTAATTAAAAGTTTGTAATAAAAGAAGTAAGTACTGTTTTTATACTTCTTATAGCCTATCTACTGAGTTGGGGAATGCAAAGCTGCTTAAAGGAGATTCTCTCATCAAGTTGTTAACCTGGCAGGAAGCATGGGTTGCAGCTTGTCCTCACATTCACATACTGATTTTAGGTATTCTAGCTTTAACAGTCTCTGACACCTGCCCAGATTCCAGGAGTAGGCTAGTGGATGTCTGTTATAGAACAAGACATGATGGAACAGAAGGCACAGCACAACAAATAATTTGTGGTGAGAGGTTTCATCACATTTGCCTCCTGAAAGACAGGCTGTGGCCTGACTTTCTAAAGGATGAACAGAGAGGAGACAGCAATTGACTTGATAGAGGCATGCTGGTAGCGGTGCTCCAGATAGAAAAACATAGCCAAGAAAGTGTACAGTGTATATTATTACAAAACACCTCAATCTGTTGCAAAATCTTATTGGTATTTTGAGTGACTAAGTTCAGAGGCGGGACAGTGAAGTGTGGAGCTGTAGTGAAGACCCCTTTCTGGCAGGCATCTCTGGGGAGCAAAGCAGTCCCAGTGTGGGAAAAGGTCAGAGTTAACCACAGAGGCCCCTCTGAGTTATCTTTCATCTTAACTGGCAGTCAGGTTCTAGGGTCAAGAACAGACGACACATAGACTCTAAAATGCTCCTCAACTTGTGCTCCTTAGTTATGTCTTCCATACACTGGAAACAATAATCCATTTCCCAAACGGTCCCCGTCCTCCAAACAAGGGAATCCCCATCCTCATAGCCAACATGCCTGGTCTATTGTAAGTTGTCAATTAGTGGTTTTTACTGCTGTCATGATCACTGATTGTTAGTAACAGGAAGAAGACTCATTCTTGATCTAACACTTGATGAGCTGTTCTGTTTTACCTGCAGCCTGGAGAGCATCCGTCAGTGTGGTGTTGCCCTCTGCATTGTGCTGGGATTCTCCATCCTGTCTGCATCGATTGGTAGCTCCGTGGTAAAGGACAGGGTGACCGGAGGCAAAAAGCTGCAGCACATAAGTGGCCTTGGCTATAAGACGTACTGGTTCACTAATTTCCTCTTTGATATGGTAGGATTCGGGGATGAGAGTCTGTGTGTCTCCATGCTAGTGAACTATTTAAATGTGTCTGTTGAAGGGAAGGATTCCCTGGCTATCTTGGATTATCTACAAAAGAAGAAATCATTATTGGTAAAAAGCATTTCAGACTCTAAGTCACCTTGACTTATCACCATCAGTCATTTAGGATTCCTTCATTAGGGAAAGACTGATAAGCCTCAGGCTGGAGATCTGGGAAATTAGGAACCAGCCTAGAAATGCAAAGTTTCTTATTGGGGAGATGAGAAAATAATCACCTTAATATGCTATTTTCAAGGGGGGCAGAAGATGAGAAGATATGAATCGTTAGAAATAATTTGTCATCTGCATGCCTAAACTCCCTCCAGTGAGTCCTGTGCCTGATACATATTGTGACATATGTGTAATGTGTATACCAACTCTTGTCAGCATTATTAACACTTTCTGTATGCATTCACTTCCCCGGTGGAAACCCTCCAGATCATTGTCTTCAGGCAGGAGGACAATAACAGATGTATTGTCTAGTTGTTTCCTATCGTTCAGAACATGTATCCTGAGTAAGACATTAAAAAACATGCTTCTTGTATGATAGATTGTTTGCCGATGGTTAACATCTACTTTCATTGTTCTGAGTAGAGTTGTCCTTTGTATAGGAAAGTGCTATCTTTGCCCTCATAAATATGATTCATCCTATGAAATAGAATATATTGCTTAAGTCAGTGGAAGGCCTAACAGACCTAGCATTTACTTAGCACCTGCTATCCATCAGGTACTATACTAGGTGTGTTACATTTCATACAGAATCTGGAATATTGACACACTGCTCTTGTGTAATGTTTATTCCTTTGAACTGGCTTAGAATTTAGCTAACTTATTTCCTTTTGATCACGCACTCTGGATTTTTTGAAAGTACAATTTGAATGGGTCATACCTAAGTTATCTCAACTTTTCAGGAGTTCATATTGTTTAATCAATTCATTTAGTGATATTGATCAGTAGAACATTGAGTAACAGTGAGGATGCCAAAGGTCCTACTTCTCAAGATCCATTCAACAGGTCTGGGTAGGACTTGGAGGTCTGTATCTAGTAAGTACCCAAGGCAATTGATGAATCTCAACCATGATTGAATAACGCTGGCCTCTAAACCCTTTGTCTTTACTGAGGGACATGTTTTAAAAAGGTAGGAGAAATGGAGGTGAGTCATTCAAGATCTTAATCTAGTTAGTGCAGGGCCAACATCTCAGGGCCAGCCAGCCTCTGCCTCCTGATTCAGCTTTGTTTGTGGTGCTCCACACTAATGCTGGTCACTCAGCTCTCTCACATCTGCCATTTAATGAAATCTAATGGCCACAGTCTTTTCAGAGAAAAGGGAAGAAGGATGCATCAAGAGAGAATAAGAGCAGGCTGTGTGCAATAACTCATGTCTGTGATCCCAGCATTTTGGGAGGCCAAGGTGAGAGGATTGTTTGAGCCCAGGAGTTTGAGACTAGCCTGGGCAACATAGCAAGACCTTGTCTCTACAAAAAAAAGATAAAGAAAAACTATTGAACCAGGTGTGATGGCATGTACTTGTAGTTCCAACTAATTGGGAGACTGAGTCAGAAGGATTGCCTGAGCCCAGGAATTCAAGGCTGAAGTGAGCTGTGATCATGCCACTGCACACTCCAACCTGGGTGACAGAGTGAGACACCAACTCTAGAAAAACAAAAACAAAAAAACGAAGATCATACAAAGGTCACACATTTCCAGGACACCATGGAACCATGGAGTGTCCAAAGTTTCTAAATTTCCAGGGCCTCCCCTTTTTTCTACATTCTTAGTTTTTCTCCTCATCCTTGCTAATAAATCTGGCTCTGTTGTTTGAACTTGGGGTCTAAGGGGAGGGAGGGTTATTTGCTTCTTGGTTAACTGTTTTTCTACCTTCATCCAAGCATTTCCTGCTTATTCTATTCAATCACCAATTCTATAATTATTTTTGAGGTTCTCATATGGTTCAAGTGTGTCCAAGGTTGCTATAGACTCTTTTGTTCCCTCAGAACTTATATGTTGAAATCTAATCCCCAATGGGTCGATATTTGGGGATGGAACTTTGGGAGATAATCAGGTCCTGAAGGTGAAGCCCTCATGAATAGTATTAGTGTCTTTAGAAAAGAGGCTCCAGAGAGCTCTATCTGATGATACAGTGGAAAGTCACAGTTTCTGAACCAGGAAGCTGACCCTCTTTAGACACTGAATCTGCCGGCACCTCGATCATAGACTTTCCAGCCTCTGAACTGTTAGCAAGAACGTCTATTGCTTATAAGCCACCAGGTCTATGCTATTCTATTATAGCCTAAATGGGCAGAGGCATTGGGCATAAAGCCATTAGTAAGGCAGAGGAGCTCTCTCTTCCCTTATCGCTTATATTCTTATGGAAGGCAGTAGAAAACAAGCATGACTAGATCTGTTGAGAGAATGAAAGAGAACAATGAAAGGGAGGGTAAATTCAAGGGGGAAGATTAAAGAAGGAGGTAAAACTTGAGCTGACATCTGAGACGTAAGAAGGAGTCTTCCATGTGGATGATATTGAGGAAGAGATTTGCAGCTGAAGGCTCCATGAGAAGAGGCACTGGGTGTGAGAGTCCTTAAGAAAGGTCAAGGTATTGTTGGTCAAGGAGCATCCCAAGGTAAGTCTGGGTAGGGAATCAGAAAGGATCTGACCTCAGTTCTGTGTGTTGAGGGAAAGCCATGTTTCATGGAAGGTGTCTGATTCCTTGACCCTTTCCAAAGGAGACGTGTGTGGGCGACTATATTAATCAACTTGGGTTGTCATACCAAAATACCACAGACTGGGTAACTTAACCGCAGGAACTTATTCTCTCACAGTCCTGGAGGCTGGAAGTCTGAGATCAAGGTGTCAGTAGGGTTGGTTTCTTCTGAGGCATCTTTCCTTGGCTTGTAGATGTCATCTTCTCCTTATGTCCTCGCCTGGTCTTTTCTCTGTGTATGTCTGTGTCCTTATATCCTCTTCTTATAAGGACACCAGTCATGTTGGATAGGGGCCCACCCTGATGCCCTTATTTCTGTCTTAATCACTTCTTTAAGGGCCCTGTTCCCTAATACAGTCACATTCTACATTCTGAAGGTTTAGCATATACATTTTGGGAGGATAACTCAGACCATAACTGTGACTTTCCAGGACTAATTCTATAGGTGCAAAACTCCTAATGTACAAAACAGTAAATATGTTTAAGTAAAAGTAGAAAGGAAACTTCAGGATAGGTAGTTTGTAGTAAGCATGGTTGTCTAATGTCACAGCTTTCTCGTTTTTCTTTTTATTTTCGTAGGTCTTTTACTTGGTTTCCGTCTGCCTGTGTGTCGCCATTATTGTCGCCTTCCAGTTAACAGCTTTTACTTTCCGAGAGAACTTGGCAGCCACAGCCCTCCTGCTGGCCCTTTTCGGGTATGTGATGAGAAGTGCTGCTGCAGAATTATGGTTTGTTGTCTGAAACAGAAAACCCTCAGGATGGCTTTGAACCTGCTGTTGCATTCATGATTTCCTCTCTTTTGAAGCAATTATGTTGCTTCTACAAGGGACGCTGAGCAAACAAGCTTGAGCGGGATGATGGATGCCCCATGGAGGGAAGCAGGGCTGACACGGCCATGATGAAGACGGCATCGCCTTGTCTCAGACAGGCCCTCAAGCTGTTTGACAAACTTGTGCAGCTGGAAATAGATTCTCTGTTACTCTCATTTTGACATTAATCAGGAGCTCAAATACATAATCCAGTTAGCTCTGGGATTGCATTTGTGGAGGTTCTCTCAGGTGGCTCTGTCTGACATATTTTCCCCCTCTTCTATGAAAAGAAGTGCTTCGTCTAACTTCTTTCCTTTTTTTCCCCCAGAGGAAAAATAGCAAATGGAGAAAATTCTGCTACTAATTTCTCATTTATGCACACTAATTGTCATTGCTAGTGGTCTCAAAATTATACCTCTCTGGTGTCAGAAATATGTGTCTTATATGCATGCATACATGTTTATATATAGGTTGATTACATAAGAGATGCTGGTGGTAGGAAAAATAACATACTGTTTGTTATAATTCAAATAAAACATTCAGCTTTTGCTTAAGTGAAAGATTAAAAGTAAAATGATGTGAGCACAGTGTGTAGTTATAGCAGCAGCTCAGAATTATTCAAATAATCCAATTATGGGGCAGAGTTTTACTTAAACAAATATGCATCATTTTTAGGGACTAATGGATGGGTGGGGAGGTGAATGGGTGGATGGAGAGATAGGTAGAGAGAGAGAGAACATGAGACAGATGAAGAAACAGATGGATAGGGAGAGAGAGACATGACTGAAAGACAAAACTTTTGGGGGAATATTGATATTACCACACACTAACTCTATTTCCATTCTTGGAAATATTAATTAATCTTTCTAGCCTTTGTTTCTTCCCTGTAAAACTCCATTTCTGTTGCTGCAAATAATAAATTAGATAGTTTATGTCGATATCATTGATAATAACTGGTACAGATTTGTCACTAAATTAATTTTAGCCATTATTGTTGCTATTAGAATTATTTTATTATTTAGAGATTATTATATCCTAACCTATAAAACATGCTTATAGTAGACATACTTATTATACTCAAGTAGAAATTTGTGAACCTGCTTATAAAGATCTAGCTATGTGTGTACCTAGCTCTAAGCACTGAGTCTGATTTCAGTTTATTAATCTAATTGCATGGATAGTGTTGTCATGTCTCCCTATAGTTTGAGTAAAGTAGACTTTGCTACAAAATTATTTTTTAAACTTTAGGAGAGTAGATTTCAAAATTGAAGGAAGACTTAGATAAAACGAAATGATTAGAAGGTCTTTAAGACATGTTTTGAAAAAGTTTTTATGATGTTATTTTGATTGTGAACCTCTGGATTAAGCCAAGAATGTCTCAGGAATCCACATACATAACTACAATGTTTTTCAAAGAATTTCTGGAGATTCACAGATCTGTTAAAGCATCATCACAGGCCAACAGGGGTGACACACTTCTGGTTAAGAATTATAGGTTAGTGGACCTGGGAACATGATGTAAAAAGACTGTGTTTGTGACCAGGATTAATTTCAGCGAAGAAGATCCCAAGAAGGATAGACCAGGGTCACAGGGTGACATCCTTGGGGGTCACAGATTAATACAGATTTAAAACATAGCTTTTTCTTCATTGGTACACAGCCATTGAACCTGGAGACTCTCCACTGTAACTGGAGGGACACTGAGAAACCTAGTCTGGGCAGCCACTATCTCCTAAGTTCCCTGGTTTTGTCTGGGTGAGGATAACAGAGATGGCTCACTCTGCTTGTTTCCACAAAGACCTGTAGGTACAGGGAGCCAGAGAACAATCTCAGGAAGGCTAAATCCCGAAATGAGTTGAAATCTAAGGATGTGTTCAGGCACTACACAGGGTCGTTTAATGGTTTGGAGTCTGAAGAAATAGGGCATAGGATAAATGAATAGATTCTTATAAGAGATAAAAGAAAAATGCCCAGGAACAATTTTATTTTATTTTTGTCTATAGAGTAAAATTTGTTATTTATACTGTAATGGGGAGAAAGGCAGAATTATAAAAAAAGAGGGAAGTAACACCTAAAAAAAAGTCTAAAAAAGAAGAATCTAGGTTACATAAAATATTGAAACTTTAAAAACATATTTAGTGTGTATTTCGTGTTAAAAGACTATGAAAATGAGGTTATAGAGTTCTGTTCAGTGCCTTGGAAAATTCACAAAGCATGGGGAAGTGGTTGATTTTTGAAGGAAGAAACTCACCCCAGAAATTCAAGAATATTGTGAATAGTCACCAATCTCCAACAAATTCCAAGTTCACTAAAATGATATTATATTTTAATAAAAGAACAGAGATTATTAAAAGCCAATGTAGGTTTCACACAGAAAATTATGCTTTATAAGTCAATTTAATTTTTTCTTAAAAATATAAAAAAGGGAGACTGAAGCTACTAATATGTTAATTTGGGACAAGTATTTGAAAGATATCTAATAAAAATGTAGTTTAGAAAAAGGGGTGGAATCATAGCTGGTTGACAACCACACCGAGAGACTGTTCATTAATGTAGCAATAGGAACCCTCTGGTGGCATCATTTAGGACCATGTCTCTGATTCTTTTTTCTTCTTCAATAATGCTTTTATCTACTTGTCAAATATTTAAATGTCAGAACCCTGTGTGGAAACCTTATGGAATGAGTGACAAAGTACAGATTCTGAACAGTCTCATAGGAAGCAGAGGCGAGCATCAAGGTGGTGATTAATTCCCCAAGTACAGAGTGGTCTATCAGGCCTCATAGCAGGATAGAGGGACAACTGCATTCGTATTGCGTTTTGGATGTAGAGATGCTAAACAAAGCAGGTGACCATCCTGCTGTGTTTTTGTGCCAGGCCGGCCCCATCCTGTGCTCTGTGAGGTGATGCTATCAAACTCACCCACCTGCAAAATTTAATAGAGAGAGCTGGATGAACACCGTGTGGTCTAAGGAGCAAAGAGAGACCCCGCTTTTTGTAGTGCAGGTTTAAGCAGACTCACATGGTTATCTTCAGCTACTTAAAGAGCTGTCCTATGGAAAAGTAAAGCAATTTGCCACGTATCACTTCAGAATATAGAGTTGGAATCCATAGTTATACGTTAAAGAGATTTTTCATTGACTCTCAGAATGAATTTTACAGCAATCACAGCTGCCCCCAAATTTGCTCAATAACTTCCACGACATCTTATATTTCAGTTGCAAAAAGGATTTCAAGACTATGATTTCATTTGCCTCTTAAAGCAGCCACATGATGTAGGGTAGCGCTTGATTTTTGCTCCAGGAGAGAGAGAGAGAGTGGATGTGTCATGTATGAATGTGTGTTGGGGCTTGAATCCTCTTGTAGTTTATTTCAGATAAAGGTGTTCACAGTGTTAGGTGCCAAGAAGTCATGACTTAGTTCTTTGGTAATTATTTTGATTTAATTACTTTAATTGTTTTATGCAACAACTGTTTTAGAAGAGTTGGTTTACAGCTCTTGCCTCCATTGTGTACTCTGAAATAATTTTTTTCCACCCAAGAGTGATATTTCTAAAACACTATATGATTGTATATATCATGTTACATATATTATATTTTTTTAACTATGAGAATGTGTCTTTTAATCCAGGAAGGCATTCTAAGATTATAGATTTCATATGAAAAGGAAAGTATACTAAAATAATAGCTATCTTGAGGGCCTAGCATCTCTTACATCTTGTTGAAGTCTCATAATTTTCAGAACTTGTTAACATATTTAAAAAACCTCAAACATTTAAAAGACACTGAAGTAATTTGTATTAAATCAATTATTCACTATAAGAAAACAGTGACACATTAACATTAAGTGTGCAGAAAACATGTGGAAGCTCTAGATATATGAGTGTCTTATGGGAAAGTTATGATTTAAAATAAGTCACTTTTTTTTTTTTCGAGTTGGGGTCTTATTCTGTCACCCGGGCTGGAGGGAGGTGGCAGGATCATGGTTCACTGCAGCCTTAAACTGGGCTCAGGCAACCCTTCTGCTTCAGCCTCAAGCAGCTGGGATTGCAGATGTACCACCACATGCAGCTACTTTTTAATATTTTTGTAGACACGAGTGCTCGCTATGTTGTCTAGGTTGGTCTGGAGCTCCTGAACTCAAGCCATCCTCCCACCTTGGTCTCCCAAAGTGCTGGGATTACAGACATAAGTCACCACGCCCAGCCTCTGCTGATATTTCAAGCCATCTTTCAAAGTGCCAATTTCTTTTCTTTTCTTTTTTTTCCAAGTTGGAGTCTCACTCTGTTGCCCAGGTCGGAGTGCAGTGGCACGCTCAATGGTTTCCACAGTCTCAACCTGCTAGGCTCAGCTGATCCTTTCCCGTCAGCCTTCTGCATAGCTGGACGAAAGGTGCAGGCCATCACGGCTGCCTAACTTTTTGATTTATTGCAGGGATGAGGTCTTGCCATGTTGCTCAGGCTGGTCTCAAACCCCTGGGCTCAGGCAGTCCTTTTTGCCTCTTTCTCCCAAAGTGCTGGGATTACAGGCACGGACCACTGTGCCTGTAGAGTACCAGCTTTCTTAAATGGGATGCAGTGGCATTATGATAGCAAGGAGCTAAGAAAAGTCGGCCAAGGGTGAACCCTGGCTCTAAGATGGGGGGGGGGAAGAAGAAAGCAAGATGTTTACATTTTAGGGATATTTGGGTATTATTTTAGATCTAGATGTCATCTGACACATGTAGGGACTGCTTCTCAGATCCAGTGTTTAGTAACGCCCCTTACTATCTTACTACACAACTTTGGGGCCATCCAGAAATGAATCCTGTGTTCAGCTTCACTTGCTTATCAGCTGTGGAACTTTGATCAAGGCTTCTGAACTCCGTTAATCCCCTTTGCTCTACCTGAAAGATGAGGATCACAGCACTGTCCCCCGGGTTGCTGGAGCATGTGAAGAGGATTAGGGCACCCTGGGAGTTGTAGCACAGTGCTCACCACACAGAGGACACTGGAAAGGAAGCTTCCAGTTTTTGTTTCTATGCCTTCTTTTTATATAGAGCTCTGCCACTTTTTATATTATGGATGTCTTTTAATTCTCTGTATAACAAATAAGTACCCCTGCTTTACTGATAAGTAGCAGAGCAAATAAGTGCCCCTTTGGGAGAAGAGACAGCTGACGTTCCCCAGGTCACAGAGTTGGCGAGTCCAGGCCCACATGTGACCTTTGTGTCATGACGTTGTCTGTCTAGTACATTTTCCGTTATATTGCAGAGTCCTCTACAGCTCCAGGGAGCATGCTTTGTAATTAGAAAATACTGTGGGATGTATTTTATAAAGTGTGTTTCTGTTCACTGATGAGGAAAAATTTCCAGACCAATAAAACCGCACGTGTAATTCAGTCATCATACAAATACAGTGATCCCCTTTATCTGAGGTTTTGCTTTCTGAGGTTTCAGTCACCCAAGATCAACTTCAGTCTCAAAATATTAAATGGAAAATTCCAGAAGTACACATCTTATTGGGTTTCCATGGTGTGGCATTCTGAGTAGTGTGAGGTCATGTTACACTGCCCTGCTCTGTCCTGCCCAGAATGTCAAGGGGATCCATGGTGTAGACACTCTCGCCTGTTGGTCATTTAGGAGCTGAATCGGTTATCAAATCACCTGTCACAGAATCCCAGTGCCTGTGTTCGGGGAACCCTTATTTTACTTGGTAGCCCCAAAGCTCAAGAGTAGTGAGGCTAACATATGTTTAAATTCTTTCGATTTTATTATGAGTTACTGTTGTTAGTGTGCCTCTCAGTGTGCCTAATTTATAAATAAAATTTTATCATAGGTATATATGTATTAAAAAATAGTTTATGTAGAGTTCAGTACTATCTGCAGTTTCAGGCAAGGTCTTGAAATGTATCCCCATTGGATAAAGGGGGGATACTGTAAATGTTACTGTGAAATAAACATGAGTTTTCAATTTACTTTTCAGATATGCGACTCTCCCATGGATGTATCTGATGTCCAGAATCTTCTCCAGTTCGGATGTGGCTTTCATCTCCTACATCTCCTTAAACTTCATCTTTGGCCTCTGTACAATGCTCATGACCACCATGCCCCGGTTACTGGCCATCGTCTCCAAAGCCAAGGTCAGTAGCTTTGTAGCTGTCCCTCTACAATGGCACTAGTGGGAAGACCCATGTTTATTTTGTTACTTTTACAACTGGAAGTCAATGGAAATGCACTAGCACCCACTCTCTTTAAATTCCAGAAAAAGAAATTAATTCTAAAGAGCAACAAAAACAAAAAATATCTGTGCTATTATAACAGCCATGCCCAGGCTTGGCGAAATTTGACAAAAACACATGCAGTTTTGATACCCCGTGAGTGAGGGCAGAGCCATGAAGACATTCACTGGCACATCCCTGGCATCTTCATCATGGATTATTTATTGATGAGTTACTGATGAATGGTGGAAGAGAGAATGTAATGACACATGTTCTGTCAAAGTGTCACCATCGTTGGGGCCCGATGCTACAAGGTGGAATGGGCAACAGTAGTTGACCACGCTACCAGGTCACAACATGTCTGCCGGATGATATGGGGGGCGGGGAGATTCTTCCCCCTTTCCTCTGATCCTTGGAACAAATTTAGTTTTGCTACTTCTAAGTGTGGGAACAAAGGGGTGTCCTGAGCATGGGTCCCGTGGTCAGGAAGTATTTCTTTTCTTGAGGGAAATACCTCTACAAAAGAGCACCTCTCTCCGATAGGTCATTCCCATGGCAAAGTCACTTTGGGGTATTATTCCCAGCAGGTGTCTAGATCAAGCTGATTTGTTTCTGCAGATACTTCCCATTTGTCCCCTGCCATGCTCCTTCCACTCCTTTCTCCTCCCTCGTGAGGCTAGCCTGGGTCTTGGCTTCTGCTTTATCCCTTCCTTTCAGTCCCTCAGCATTCCCTGTGCTACCTGAAGGTGTGGACTTCAGATTTTGCACTCTTCTTTGCCCTCATATTGCAATCCTTTTCATTTCTGTTTTTTCTTCTCATCTCTGGCCACACTGCTGTCTCTTGTTTCCCTGCTGATTGCATGGACTCTGATCCCTCAGAAGTTCTTAGGTGTTTGAATGACTTGGGGGCGGAGAAAATTGCCAGGAAAAGGTCCAGAGCTCTAGTTCTGAAGGATGTGCTGCTGGTCTTGTTTTATATAGGCACTGATGCCTGCTCGGTTGGGACACATTTACTTGATCATGGCCGGACTTTCAGAGAATTAGTGGACTCTCCAGTGATGACTAATATTAGTTTTTTATTATTATGCCTCATTTTGGATAGAATCAGGGAAGTATGTAAACATCTATTATGCATTCAGTGATGCTAATAATCTATTTTGGTGATGTGTACAGATTTATTATTGACACTAATCTGTATTAATATGTCTAGCCTTTAAATAGAAAACTTACAGAACAATTATTTGGCTTTAACTGGAGGAGAAAATTCAAATCAGCAGAAGCAATATACAATTTTCTTCCTCTCTCTTCATTTCTCTAATGTGATATTGACCATCAGAATGCCAATCACAAACTATGGTGAAACGGAAAACAGACACAATGTAGATACTCCTGGGGTAAGAAACTCAAGAGCAGAGGTATGCCCTAGAAGATAAGGGTCACAGAAGTGGAATTTAGCTACAGAAGGAAAAGGGAGAAGAACCTTTCAGACCCCAAGACGAAGCTCGTCAGGAACCTTTCCATCCATGAGATACTAACAAAGTGGTTAGAATTGGCATTGTTACCTCCAATTATAAACAGCATTGCTTATTTGAAAAAGAAATCAATGAGCAATGGGCTATTTGCAAGAAAATGGGTCTAGATCAATTGGTAACAAATAATAAAAAGCATTTTATTGCTTTTGCTTAAATCTTTCTTTTCCTCTGCTCTTTATTTTGATTTGCTTAAGAAACTTTGCTTATGAAACTCAACATGTTCGATTATTCATTTCAAATTATTTCAGATATTCATTTGTAAGTTATGGAGCAATATGTTTTTATAGAATTAATGATGACAGAAGCAGGGTACTGCTGGGGTGGGTGGTGGTAGGGGGGACACAATATCAGTAAGGGTACCTGATCTCAAACCAGGCAAAGTGGAAACCAAAGGGAGGCCAAAACTTTACCTATGCAATAACCACTTGTATATCTAATCCTGAATTGTACCCCACATCTTAAAAAAAAAGAAATAATATAATTAATGGGAGAAACTGATAAGGGTGAGAATTTTCAAATAAATCTTAAAACTATTATAACCAATATCAGCCATCATGTATACAAGCTATAGTGATAATGTGATCATTTCATTGTTGCCAAATCATAGTTTATATGATGCATTTTGGGTTCTAATGCAAGATTCGAAGCATCTGTCTCTCCTACTGGTGAGGCTTCCTTTTGGGATGAAGAAAATGTAGACAGAAGAAAAACTCACGCTTTCTAATTTATTTCTCTGTATAATGATTACTTCCTCAAACTCCCATCCATATCCTGAGTCAAACACTTGTGGATTGTTATTCCATGACTTTGTAAAGCTATATCCTTCTTATATGTGTGGATTATTTGTTAACTACAATTTGTTAAATGTTCCTGTATTGCTCATACTTATATAGAGATTGTGAATTCCTTAGAGTCAAACATAATAGAAATCACTAGTAATAGAAAATCATTTCTTGTGGTAAATTCATTGATCCAGGGACATAGTTTTATGAAAAGTGTGATTAATTAGCTCCTTTAGGACTGGTTAAAACTAACTAGTGCAAGTTAGTCAAGAAAAAAATGACAAAAAATTAAATGAAACTTTTGCACTTATACTGTGTTTATATGTAAAAGACAGTAAACCATAATATCATGCCCTAAAAGTTGTTATTGAATTTTCTGTTGCCCTAAAACCACATTATATTTAAGACTACATTTTTTCTAGTAAAATTATAAATTGGACATTATATAGTATAAAATATATAATTGACAACTCTGTAAGTTTATTCCTTAATAATTATGATAGCACACATATACTGTTGTATATTATGATGATTTTGTTCCTTATAAGCTATTATTGTTTATATTTAGATCAATTTTTGAGTTTGAACATAAGGAGAGAAAGACTGTCAAGTGCAAGTCTAATTCTTCATTATATTTCCATAGTTTTATTGGGTACTTATAGTTAGTGTGGACTTTCTGGGTCAGAGTCTTTAAGGTAGCTAGCTATGCTGAGCCTCAAAGTCAGCTCCCCTGAGTAGCATTTTGGTGACTTTTCTCTAAAGGCCACAATCTGTGGGTGGAAATACCTTATTCTTTGAACCAGAAATGTTGGGATTGAGTCCCAGCCCTGTTACAGTGGGACTTGAACACATTAATCAGCCTCTTGAGACTATGCTTCCTCATTGGTAACCTCATTTACTCCTTGGGTCCTTGTACATTTATTGAGACAATGAAATGTGATAAAGTGCAGTGAGACTGGATGTATACAGTAAGCATCTAATAAACAACTGATTATCCTTGCAATCATTTAAATCTCATTATATAATAAAATTAATATTCACCAGTAGTAAAGATGATCATAGAACATATGGCTCTCATTGAATTTTTAGATACATTCAATTTACAAATTATGTCCATATATGTGGCCTATCTTATGTTTTGTTTTCTCAGGGAATTCTATCCTATTTGATCTCTTTTCATCTTCTTCCTCACTCATACTTGTTCTTGTTAGATCATTTATTTCTAAGTTTAATAATGATGACTACATATATTTTCTATTTATTATATACTAGGAACAGACTAAACATTTTGCATGTTATTTAAATGCTCACAGTCACAGATCCTAATATTATTGGCTCATTTAAACATTCATGTCACCTTGTGGCCATCTAGTGTTACCTTTGTGTCTACCCTAGACTTGGTGACTTAAGCTACAGACATTTATTCCTTATAGTTCTCGAGGCTGGGAGTTCAAGATCAAGGTGATTTTAGTTTGGGTTTTTGATGTGAGCCCTGTTACTGGCTTGCAGACAGCTGCCTTTTACTGTATCCTTACCTGGTGGGAAGAGAGAGAACTCAGGTATCTCTTTCTCTTCTTATAAGGGCGTTAATTCCATCATGGGGGCTCTACCCTCATGACCTCATGTATACCTAACTATCTCTTAAAGGCCTCACCTCTGAATACCATCACACTAGGAGTTAGGGTTTTAACATATGAATTTTGGGAGGATATAAACATTTAGTCCGTTACATTCAGCCCTGAGCCCCCAAGATTTACGTCCATCTCACATGAAAAATAGATTCATTTCATCCCACAGTCCCAAAGGTCTATACTCATTGCAGCATCAACCCTAAAGCCTAAGTTCAAAATCTCATCTAAATATCATCTAAATCAGATGATATTTAGATCAGATATTTAGATGATATTTAGATGATATTTAGATCAGATATTTCCAGCGTGTATTTTATCGTGAGACAAATTCCTTTCCAACTATCAACTTGTGGAATTAAACATGTAATTTGCTTCCAAAATACGATGGTGGGGCAGGCATACGATAGACATTCACATTCTGCAATGGAGAAATTAGAAGGAAAAAAGGGATAACAGTTCTCAAGCAAGTAAAACCTTGCAAAGAAAATATCATTAAATATAAAATCTCAAGAATAATCTTCTTTTGTTTGAGGACTGAGAGTGTCATTTGATAGTTGGGATGAAGAGGACTAGACACAGGACTAGTAAAGCAGAAAAATAAGCTATTGGTGTATGTCATGAAAAAGGAAATGCATTTTAACCTGATTTCTTTCTTTCTCTCACTGTGCAGAATTTACAGAACATCTACGATGTCCTCAAGTGGGTTTTTACTCTTTTTCCTCAATTCTGCCTGGGTCAAGGACTGATAGAACTCTGTTATAATCAGATTAAATATGACCTGACCCACAACTTTGGCATTGATTCTTATGTGAGTCCCTTTGAGATGAACTTCTTGGGCTGGATCTTCGTGGAATTGGCCTTGCAGGGCACAGTTCTTCTCCTCTTAAGGATTCTGCTGCACTGGGACCTTCTGCAGTGGCCAAGGTGTGTTCTGAAGGGCTTATCCTTGAGCAGCACCAACTACTGAAGAAAGAGAGGGAGAGAAAAATCCATCCTGGAGGTTGCAAGATAAGAAATGTGCCTGATCAATGTTCTACATGGTTCTAATGAGTAAATATTTTATTAGATTTTAGATTTTTGATTGGAATGAATCACCAGCACTAGGAAAAGGAATTTCAAAAGCTATTGTGCCAAACTGTGGGATAATCTTTCCAGTTATTTAATTGTTTTAGAGTATTTTCCACTTTGGAATTATTCAATTTCTCTGTTATTTTATACCCCGAAGGTGAATTTGGTTGATACCATAAAACAATTTGTTCTTACGAATGAATGTCGTTAACTCCTGAGAGCAGAAAGTATGAAGATTCAGTGCAAATTAACTGCATGCCCTCTTCCAGGCCTCATTGCTCCTGTTGCTTGTGTCTTGTCTTGTCTTTGTTAGGTGAGGATGAAAGTCAATAGCACAAGGCTATATGTGACCATGTAGATATATAATGTAGTCTATATATATACAAGCAAACATACACAAACATACCTCTCTGCTACTCTAAATGGAATTTAAGGTGACTTCACACAAGGATATCTGAAATATTGTCAGATAGCACATTTGAAACACAGAAGGAAAAAAAATGTGCTTTTTGTGTAAGATCCACAATGATGTGTTCCACCCCCCAAGTGGCCTGAATTTATTGCCCTCCCCTTTCCAAGTGCTGTAAATTTCCCTTTGACTTCTACTTAAGGAGGTGATCCTTTATGAATAAATTATTAATTAAGACCATGTCACCGGAGAACCTATTAAAGATGACAATGATACTTTATTAATATTTTATGGTGATCCCCTCATATAATTTTTCTTTCAGTCATTTCACAAAATATTTTCTAATATAATCCTTTGTAAGCTGCTAAAATAGAGAACTATTTTGAATACAAGTACAAGTGCCCTTTTGAATTGGCCATCATCACCCTGGAATCTGCAGATTTCTAATAGCTGACAGAATTGGAGTAGAATTTTGAGTATGTTTTAAGCATCGTTTGCTTAATCTACTTTTAGAACCTGTCATGTAAAATCCCTTGTGGCAGATTTCAGGGTACTGCATTTTCCCATAGTATCAAAAGATTTTTCTTTGAAGAGAAGACCTTCTGTATTACCTTTACTTTGTAGAGTGTAAGAATAGGTTGGACTATATTTTAGAATAGCATCTTTGCTGTCCACAATAAAGAATCAATTTTTGTTATTTTTTGTCTATGTGAAGATTACAGAGCACAGAAATTTTAGTTAATGTGGGTACTAACTACTTCCTACTCTTTTATGCACAACTGTCCCAATGACTGTGTGACCCAGTCAATTTACTTTTTAAATACAAACTTAACAGGTCACTAATCATGGCATAAAAGGTAAGGACCAAGGTTCTTAGCCAGGCCCCCTCATGACCGGTGCCTCCTGCTCAGGGAAGCTGTCGTGGTCCTTCCCCCACCCCACAGAGATGGGTGCCTCTAGATCACCTCTGCACAAGGATTTCTCCACTTCCAGCACCTCCTTCTATTCCTGTCCTGCCTCTGGAGTTGGTGTGATGCCTTCTCAGTATTCCTATTACATTGTCCTTCTTTCTTAGGGTACATCTGTGCTGTTTGATAGTATTCATGTGTTAATCATCTCTGCTTGACTAGGAGTTTCTGCATGGAGAAAAATTATACTCGACATCGCTGAATCTTGGAAGAGAATAGGAAGACCTGGCCCTCTATGTCTGGGTACAGATAGATCCCTCCTCCCTGATCTGAGCAGTGCCCTGTCACCAGCACCTGCTGCTTGACATGAGTATGGAGTGCTAGTGAGCCCACGTCCTTGCTGTCTTTCCCTAACCTGTGCTGGCTTTCTCCTGCAGTCCAGTTACGGAACTTTGGGTGTCCTTTAGGAATCCAGGTCTCTGTTAGCACGTGAGCTCTAGTTCTTGCCTATTCTGTCTTCTGTCTTGAGCTGTACTATGCTGTCTGTGCCCTATGCACTGGTTGGGATGGAGAAGCCACATGGTCCAAATATTGCATATGTTGAATATCTGGAAAGTTCTGTGACATCTAGTACCCATCTGGATGTGTCCCCTTTAATACATTCTTTTTAAATTATTTCCCTTTAGAAGATAACTAAGTGGCATATTTCTGGGCATAGTTGGGGGAATGTAGTAGAATGCTGGTTTGTTGTAAATGAGCAGACCGGAAGTAAGCTAGGTCAATTTCCTTCTCCCTACCCCCCCCCCCAACCAGAATGACTTAAAGAGATTTAAATGAATGCACATACTTAGGTCTCTTGCTGGAACCCTGCATGAGAAGTTCTGGGATGAGACCCAGGAGCTTCTTAATTCTTATGAGGAGAGATGAACACCGCTGTTGTGGGTAACTGTGGGGATGGATCTGGGAGGCAGGAGGAAGTCAAGGTGGCACAACTTCCCGCTGGAGTGGGAAAAGACCTCTGGAAGACCAGGACAGGGTGAAGGACCAGGAAACAACCTTCATCTGGGAAAGGAAAATAGCATTCAACTAGGAAAGCATACAATTCAATGAATTTCACAAGTCCAACACATTCATGTAACCCTCTCTCATTCATAAATGGAATAATACCAGCACCTCAAATGACTCCTGATAAACTTCTTGCAGTCAATACTACCCTCTAGGTGATTGCTATTCTTACTTTTATCTCCACTGATTCATTTTTCATGCTTTTGGATGCTATGTAAATGATGTCATATAAGATAGACCCCTGAGTATTTAGCTATATTTTTCTCATCATCTATATTCTATGTGGAGTAAATGATATATTTGTCAAATGTTGATTTTAGGTAAGGAAAATTAAGACAGAGAAAATTTGTGGGGATTTAGGAAGCTAGCTGTGGATAGTTTATTTTAATATTTTTTTAATTTTGAAATTGTTTAAGAATCACAAGAAGTTGCAAAATTAGTATAGAAAGTTGCTGTATGTCTTTCGCCCAGCTTCTCCCAATGATAATGTGATAGTATAATACATAGTAATACTACACTCTCAAAATCAGGCAAATAGTGTTAGTTATAATACTAACAAAGCAGGCTTTATGAAAATGTAATCATTAAATATATTTTAAATGATTAATTATAATTATTAAAATGTTAGCATATATTACAGATAACAGAGGAAACTGAAATTTACTTGAACATTAAAATGCATCAGGTTGGAAATCATAAGGAGGACTGAAAAGTGAGCAGCTCAGATTGAGAGTAAATAAATTAGAGTTGAAAATTAATTTTATGTCCATCTGATAAATACCTATTGAATACCTTTTGGAAGGTGTTGTACAGAGTACTGACTCTACAATCCTTTTATATGGTTCAATGTATACTATAAACTTACAATGTTTGGGTACTTTTATATACCACACACTTGTTTATATTAGATGACTTGTTTACTAAAAACACTTGAGAAAGTTGGTGCCTTATAATTTAGTAATAAATTCTTTTTACATTTAGCAAAAGAGTCTGGCATGACTTTATTATTCAAAAAATTAAAAACTAGCTCTAGTTTGGTGTTGATGTATTTCAGTGTCTTTTAAGGACATGTATATTTCCTTTATGTTAGACACTAAACATTGATTCTTTTTTGTAATTAGGATGGCAGGCCTGGCAACTCCAGACAAAGCTCATACTGCAGAGGTCTGAAGGCAGTGTCTTCTGTATTTTACAGATCTCTGACCTCTCATACAATTTCAGTGTTATTTCCCAGGTGTGAATTAATGCTGACTTTTATCTTCCCAGGGGTCACTCTGTCCTCCAAGGCACAGTCAAATATTCTAAGGATGTGGATGTCAAAAAGGAGCAAATGAGGGTGTTTGAAGGAAGAACCAGTGGAGACATTCTTGTGTTGCACAATCTTAGTAAAAGTTATCGAAGCTTTTGTCAGGAGATCACCGCTGTGCAAGGCATCAGTCTGGGCATACCAAAAGGAGAGGTAACAAAGCTTCTATTTTTGCCCGTTTCTGTTGTGATCTTGTTTTACTCTAATTGCTGGTCTGCTTGTGTTATTCTCAGGATATCTGAAATCCGAGACAAAAACAACCTTCAAATTTCAGGAATTTTCACAAAATCAGTACAAGCAGAGCCTGAAATGGAGGGTCTGTTGACTGTTTCCATAGGTAAAACTTTGCTGATTGATCAGTATGATTTATTTTATTTCTTTTTTTTTAAATCAATATTTTTTATTATGATATTGTGGGGTACAGGTAAGGGCTGGGAATACAAATATGCTTCATTCAGGCCCCCTTGTTGATAGTAGGTGTCTCCCTGTCCCCAGACAGATGTTTATTACCATTAGTCCCATCCTCCCCCCCATAGCTTCCCACTGCTGTCAGTCATTTTCTTATGGTAGTGCGTTGGATGATCAAGGTCCACTATATGAGTGAGAACATGTGATACTCAGATCTTTGTTTCTGTGAGAGGTCACTCAGTATTATGGAATCTAGTTCCATCCAGGTTGCTGCGAAATTCATGCTTTTGTTCTTTTTTATGGCTGCATAGTATTCCATCGTGTATATGTACCACATTTTTTTAAATCCAGTCCTCTTTTGATGAACAGCATGGTAGATTCCAGGTTCTTGCTATTGTGAACAATGCTGCGATAAATATTTGTGTGCAGTTATCTTTTTTATAGAGTGATTTGAGTTCTTCAGGGTATATTCCCAGTAGAGGGTTTGCAGGGTCATATGCTTTTGGGAATCACCACACTGCTTTCAACAGAGGTTGCACTAGTTTACACTCCCACCAACAGTGTAGGAGTGTTCCCTTTTCGCCTATTCCTCTCCAGCAACTGTTATTTTTTGAGTTATTGATAATTGCCATTCTGACTGGAGTTAGGTGGTATCTCAGTGTGGTTTTGATTTGCATCTCCCTGATGATTAGTGAGGTTGAGCATTTCTTCCTGTG